ATGAGCAGCTCTTGGAAGCTCAGAGAATAGAAGCTAAGTTATATGTATTACTGCCTTTATCTGTAAAGGTGACCTGATTGACACCTTCAGAAAATCAACCAGGAAACCATCATCTATGCCTGTGGAACAACATCATGAAAACTACTGAAGTAGTCTTGGCCAGTTTTGTTATTTTGTTTTGTTTATTCTGTAACTTTGTGTTTGTCCATCTTTTGTGTGAATGTGGCTAAAAACAAAGGTTTTGCGTTACTGAAGTAGTCTTGGCCAGTTTTGTTATTTTGTTTTGTTTATTCTGTAACTTTGTGTTTGTCCATCTTTTGTGTGAATGTGGCTAAAAACAAAGGTTTTGCGTTTAAAGCATAGATCAATTCGATTACTTTGTTAGTTTTACAGTACTGAAGTTACAAAATTGTTAATAAATTGCTGAGGCTTTTGTTTTAAGATACAAACCGGTGACGAGAATTGATCATTTGCAGAGTCTGGGACTGATTATTCAAAAGTCTGGCTCGGAACTATTGGAGTCAATTTTGAGAATCTTTTGAAGGTTTTACTTTTACTTTTACTTTTTTTTAACTTTGTGTTGCAAATACAAAGACAGAAAAGCCAATTTCATTTGGCTGTCTGTCTCTGTGCCATAACAGGTAGCAGATGAGGTTCAATGCAGAGATGAATATAAAATAGGAGGTACAATTCTAACGCGGATGAAGGAACAGAGGGACCTGGGTGTATGTATGCTTAGATCATTGAAGGTTGCAGGACAAGTGGAGAGCATTAGTAAAGCATATAGTATCCCTGGCTTTATTAATAGAGACAGAATATAAGAGCGAGGAGATGATGTTGGACTTGTTAGACCTTAGCTTGAGTACTGTGTACAATTGTGGGCACCACATTATGGGAAAGGTGTGAATGCATTGGAGGGTGCAGATTCAAAACTTCAGTTATGAGGATAGATCGAAGAAGTTGGAACTGTTCTCCTTGAAGAGAAGCAAAGTGAAAAAGGAGATTTGGTGGAGGCTTTCAAAATCATGAGCATGTTGGATAAAGAAGACGGGAAGTAGCTGTTCCCGCTCTGTAAAAGGAACAAGAACGTGATGGCATAGATTTAAAATGATGTACAAATGAAGCAAGGGTGATGTGAGAAAGAACTTTTTCACAGTAAGTAATGAGAATGTGGAATGTACTGACTGCAAGTGCCTTGGAGGCAGGTTTGATTGAAGCATTCAAGAAGGCATTGGATAATTATTCGGATAGAAGTAAAAACCAAAAGAACTGCGGATGGTGTAAATCAGGAACAAAAACAAAGTTGCTGGAAAAGCTCAGCAGGTCTGGCAGCATCTGTGGAGGAGAAAACAGAGTTAACGTTTCGGGTCCGATGACCCTTCCTCAGAACTCAGTTAACAAAACTCAGTTAACCCTTCCTCACTGGACCCAAAACGTTAACTCTGTTTTCTCCTCTGCAGATGCTGCCAGACCTGCTGAGCTTTTCCAGCAACTTTGTTTTTGATTCGGGAAGAAGTAGTGTGCAAGGGTATGGAGATAAAGCAGGTAATTGACAGTAGGTAATCATCTTCCTTTGAAGAGCCAGTGTAGGCATGATGGACCTAATAGCTGACTTCTGCACTGTAACCATTCTGTTATTCAATAAGAAATATAAAAAAGTGTAATTGCAATGTTTGGTATAGTTATGACAAAAAGTAATGGACTGGAAAGGATATGAAAAGAACAGCAATGTTGCTACAAGTTAAGAGGAACGAATTCTGAGGAAAGATTGGGAAACGAGATATCTTAGATTGACCCATACTCTTTAGGAGCATGGATTGGTTTATAGGACTTTTGATTTGTAAGAAAATTTTGTCTGAGACTTGTATTAATGTTTTGCATTCTAAATTCCTTTGTTAACTTATTTAACAAAAGATGTCTGTGTAATATTCTCATTCTGTGAACGTGCAGTGTTGCTAATTAAGGTGTTTGAATGCCACCGCTGAAAGGAGGACGAAGAGAGATTTTTAGTCAACCTGTTCAGAGATGTTATGACACACCTCTGGTGCAGGTGAGACTTGAACCTAGGTCTTTTGGCCCAGACGTAGTGGCACTATCACTGTGCCACAACAGCCCTAAAAGGGCAAGTTATGTGGTGTGATATGTTTATCTACTGTTTTTTAATTCACTCATGGAATGTGGGCATCTCTGGCTTGGCCAGCATTTATTACCCAAGGAGCCACATGTAGGCCAGATTAGCTAAGGATGACAGATTTCCTTCCCTAAAAAACAAAGGCAATGGCTCTGTGGTTATCGTTGGACCTTCATTCCAGATTCTTTACTGAATCCAAATTCCAGCGAATACAGGAATTGAACCCACGTCCCCAGAACGTTAGCTGAGTTTCTGGATTAATAGTCTAGCCATAATACCACTAGCCATTGCCTCCTCAGTGGAATGTAATTCAGTTATATATGCCAAATTAGTGGTAGGTCCTTCTTTCTAGCGTGACATTTTTTTAAAGTAGTGTGAAAATTCTGAAAACTCTTTGTGCTGAGTGTAATTTGTGTTTAAGGTTCTGCCTCTTTTTGTGATTGGTAAGCAATCTGTGGAGATTTGTTACAAAAAGCCAGTACACCTGAGTGGAAATTCTGCCCAAGATATTAAATAAAAGCCAAAAGAACTGCAGACACTGTAAATCAGAAACAAAAACAGAAATTGCTGGAAAAGCTCAGCAGGCCTGGCAGCACCTCTGAAGAGAAATCAGAGATAACGTTTTGGCTCCAATGACCCCTCATCAGAACAGATACTGCCAGATGCTTAGATTCTACCCAAGATGATTTTTTTTAATCAGCCTTTTCAGAGATATTGTTACATACTTCTGGAACACATGGAACTTTTACCAAGGGCTCCTTGCTCAGAGACAGTGATGATACAACTGCTATCTACTCCAAGATGTATGATTTTTGAAGTCTAGATTGAATTGAATCTGCAGGTCCTAGCCACTAAACTTGTAACATTATTCTACCTAATGACCACTGTTGTTTTCTGATACTTCAATACAAATGAGTAATCAGGCGATCAAAGGAAGGGATGTGCTTTCTATTAAAAATTGGAATTCAACATTGATTATAAATATGTACTTCATTTCTGCAGATGATTGAATGTTTTTATTAAATGTTACAGCGAATTAGGGAATAGCTGCTAATTCAGTATTTTTTTAAAGTTTGTATGCAGCTGCAGGGCATTGTATAGTTTTTATTCACAAATCATTCAAACTGCTTCCTGAAGCTTCTGTTTTTCTTAATGATGAAAATGTCTGGGGAAGAATTTATTTTATTTGTTCAGGGTTGTGGCCTTCACTGGATGGGCCAGCATTTGCACAACATTGCTCTTAGAGTTACAACACAGACTATGTGAATTCAAGAGAGTGTACCACATGACCTAGGCATTAACAGACTGGCACGCATAACTGTCATCTTTGATATCATTGAGAAATGCCATGCAAGTTGCACAGTTAATGATCCATGACACTGTCTGTTCTAGTGATTTACATAATCAGCGTTGCACAGCTCAAGCAATGCTACATGAGTAGGTTTTTCCCTTGTGTGTAAATTAAGGAATTTAAGCAAAGTTCTGATTCCCCTATAAATGTAGCTATTGAATTGTGTCTTTTAATGTTAAATTAAGTTTATACTGAAGCCTGATCCTCTCAATTGCCTAGATTTTAGAATTGATATATTCTGTAAAAGCTTATAATTTCTAAGAGAGCTACAATGCTATGAGCTGTGTTTAGTCACCCCATCTGAGTGCTCGCAGCACGTCTAATTTCTAAGAATGCATCCGTGCTGTTCAGCTAGCTGTGCTGAAAGAATATATAATCAAAGAACAATGGGTCAATAGGACAAAAAAGTCTCAAATAGTCTAGAACGAAGAATTTTTAACTAATAATTTTCATTTGCTGTCAATGAGAGTAAAGAACTTAGTAAGTCTCAGAAAAGAGTGTCAAATAATGATAGTTCTGTAAATAGGGTAATTGACTGTTATTTGATTGCTTTGTTGAACACTTCTATTCTTCTCCTAAGTGTGGACCTGGCCTACCTGAGACCCACCACCCTAACTACCTCTCTGATCTTTCATGTTTTGGTGCCCTGCAGTATTCCAAAGCAGCTCCCTTCAGTCTGACACTGCATGAACTTTAACCTGATTGTTTTTTATGCCATCAAAACTAAAAATGATATTTCTCCAACTTAAGTTGGCATCCTTCTTTATAGGAAGGAGACCGGTTTGGCAAGATTCCCACACCAGGTTTCTCTCGCTGGAAAGTGCATATGTGTAAATATTGGATGAAAATTGGATCGACCCCATTCAAATAACTAGCCACTATTCAATATCTACACAGATATGTGAAGAGAGGTATTAAAACACTTCAAGAGACAAGGGAGCAAAATTGTTTGGGAGAGAAAATAATTGTTCTATCAAGACTTTTTCATGAGATTTGGGATTGCAGACATCCACTTTATTGTTATTTTAAATTTCTAACCTGACCTCAGTTCAAAAACGTGTAGGTGGATAGCTGTTTCTCCCACCCCCTTCCCTTATTATAGATCGTGGTACTTTGTTGTTAATTTTGAACTGAATCATTATCTAATCTTGCTCAATATAATAATTTGTCAACATTACTTGTCAATAATTTGTCAATATTACTTCAAGCTGCACTGTACCAAGTTAACACAACATCAAGAGCTAGAATTATAATTGATCTTATTTTTGTTGGTAAATATTTTTAAAGTAATCTTGCCTTTATTTACAAACAAATTACTGATTTGATGAATTTTAGTGTTTCAACTGCACAATGACTAATTCAGAGATTTTTTAGTTTGTAAAAATAATCCAGATTGTCATTGGGAATACAAGTACAATGCATTGCCAGAAAGAATCTAATAGTCAATGAAGGGGTAATCATTGGAGTTAATAATTTCCTGTTCTTTGTAAACAGCAAGTGAAATTTTATGTTGTTTAGACCCACAGAATTATTCCGCAGTTGCAATACTCAGTCAGACCAAGGAGCCAAGAATGACATGAAACTCTGGGAGAAAGGGACCATAAAGATGCCATTTATGAACATACCAGTGAAAAATATTAAGACCTGTCAACCAGAAATGTGGAAAGCAATTGCCTGCTTATTACAAATCAAACCGTGCCACAGCAAGTCTGGAGGAAGTATATGCAAGTAAGTTCTATTTTGCTGGGGCACTGAGGTTTCATCTAATTGCCCACTTTATAAAGTGTGTTTTTTCATGGTTTATGCTTTATACATTCCTTCTTTCCTATTGTAGCTTTTACTTTGTTTATTTAGTTAAATGCATTTTTTTTGTATTCAAATAATTAAACAGAGAGTTGCACAATGAAGCTCAACTGTTTACCATTTCATGAAGACCAGTGTGCAGTAGTGTTTTTGCTGCAGTTACTGTATCACTTAGTGCTTGGGGTAAGAAATAAGGATGCACTTGGGAGGTCACAGCAAATTGCTATCTTGCTTGTCTGCAAGTGGTACTTTTGCGCGGTAACAGGAATTCTGTCAGTTCCAATTAAAAATAAAAATTGAATTTGAGAGCAAAACTTATAACTGCTTCTAATCAAAATTGAAGATTGCAACTCTTTTAATGATATATACTGACGAGGCATATTTTGATATTGATAATCTTAGCACTGTAACTTATGAATTTTACCTTCAAGAATTCTGAGTCTTTGTTCTTGTGGAACCACATCTTCTTTCAACTGTTACATCAGAGTTCTTGTAAATAGGCCTTATCCCTCCGAGTATCTGGTAAGTGATTAAAGTTTTATTCTGTTCCCCAGGCTCAAAATATTTTGTAGCTGGTGATAAAGTTAATAAATACATAAAAACTTAGCATTGTTTTAAACTTTATATTTAGTTAAGTAGTTGCTTAAAAAACACAAACGATGGCAAGCAGGTTATATGTCACAGTTGCAGCATATGGGAGGTAATGGATACCAGTTTGGTCCAGAAAAAAGCATGCCTGTGTCAAGTGTTTAAAGTTCGAGCAGCTCTAGCTCAGAATTTGAACTGGAGACTGAATTACAGACACTGCGAAACACTGGGGAGAGGGAAGATTAGCTGGAATCTTTGTGCTCGGAGACAATCAAACCTCTTGGAGTTGGGTCATTTGATTTGGTCAGTGTTCAGGGACACAAGAGTGTGAGGTAGGTGAAGGGATCCAGAGGACAGGAGGTTCAACCTTTGCACTCGTCCAACGGGTTTGAGTGATTCTTTCACCTTGTCTGTATGAGAGAGAGGGTTGCAGGGCAGATGAGCTAAGTGCCAATACAGCACGGTATTGGAAGCCACTCAAGTCGAAATAAGAAGGAATGTAGTTGTAGAAGGGGACAATATAGTGAGGGGGTTTGACCCCATTCTGTGCAGTCAAGAGTGAGCCCAGATGGCTGTGTTGTCTGCTCAGTGCCAGCATTCCTGACATCTGCTCATAACTGGAGAGGACCCTGGTGATGGATAGGCAGGATCTAATCATTGTAGTCTGCATAGGTACTAGTGACATAGGTAGGACTGTAAAGAAGGTTTTGCACAGTCAGTACAGGCAGTCCTGCTATAACGTGTGTTTTGTTGATGCAAATTGGCTGTAACGCAACTGATGAATAGTGGACGATGTTTGGATAACACTAACTTTCTGCTGTACAGGTATAGTGATTTTCTGTAGCGATTTCCCAATAACGCGATTTTTCATAGTGCAAGGTCATACAAGAATGCATTTATCGCATTATAGGAGAATTACCTGTATCAGGAGCTAGAGTCCAAATTAAGCAGTAACTCAAAGATCACAACCTCTGCGTTATTACCCGAGCCGTGTGCAAATTGATAGAGATGAAATCAGATCAGAGAGATGAATACATGGTTCAATGACCGGTGTGGGAGAAGTGGATTTGAGTCCATGGGAGTAACCTCTCCTTTTGGGGAGTGCAACTAGAAAAAGAGAGAAAGGGGAATAGTGGTACGAGACTCAACAGTGAGGGATATTAGATGAGTACTTCTGTGGACATGACTTCAGATTGGCTTGTTGCCACCTGAATCATAACAGGATCAACATCATTGTGGAGGTCTGCTATTGCTGTTATTGAGGGTTTAAACTAATTTGGCGGGCAAATGGAATTTGGAGTGGTGATAAAATAGGCAGCAATATGCAGACAAATGTAGAAGGAAAATCAAGTCAATGTGGAAGATAAAGCATACTTAGTCCAGTTAAAACACAAAGGAGCATAGCAAGGTTGGATGGTATTTATTTTAATGGAAGGAGTCTTGTGAGTAAGGCAGATGTGTTGAGCGTGCTGATTAATGCATGCGGATTATGGTATTATTGTTATCACAATGATATAGTTAAGTGAAGGACAGAACTGGCTGCTCAGAATTCCAGGCTATGGAATTTTCAGGCGATATAGAAGAAGGTTTTGTTTAAGAGGTAGTGCAATATTGATCAAGATATCTCGGAAGATTCCTTGATTGAGGCTATATGAGTACAACTTAAAAAAGGTGCAATCACATCATTGTGTTTGTACTATAAACACCAATCAGTGAGATATAAAAGAGCAGATATGTAGACAAGTATCAGATGTAAAAAATGAGATATTGGCAAATCTCAGTGGAATAATTATAGGGGATTTCAACTTCACCAATATTAACTGGAATAGGCAAAGTGTGAAAGGCATTGAGGGCAACTGTCAGCATGGATTTGTCAGAGGGAGATCATGTCTGACAATTTGGTTGAGATTTTTGAATTGGTGACGAGCTGCATGAATTAAGATAGTGTGGTTGACTTGGTCGACATGAACATCAATAAGGCTTTAGACAAGGTGGCGCAATAGAGATTGGTCAAGAAGATAAGATCCCTTGGGATCCAGGGCAAATTGGGTTGAAAAATTAGTTTAGTGGTAGATGACAGAGGGTGAGAGTTGAAGGTTGTTTTATGACTGGAAGCCTGTCTCCAGTGGCTTGAAGTCTATGTCCAGTGGCTTACCACAGGGCTTGGTGCCTTAGCTATTTGTATTGTACATTAACAACTTGCATACAAGTATAAGAAGTTTTATCAGTAAGTTCATGGATGACGCTAAAATTGTTCATGAACTCTATAACGAGAAAGTGTAGATTCATTAAGCCAAAGGGCCCCTTCTGTACTGTATGATTCTTTAACCTACAGTAAAATATATACAGCCTGGTCAGATGAGCAGACCAATAGGAGATGGAGTTTAATCTTGAAAAGCATTTTGGGAGGAACAACAAGGCAAGAGAATAAATGGTGAATGGTAGAACTCCAGGTAGTATTGAGGATCAGCAACATTTTGGTGTGCATATTCGTAGATTCTTGAAAGCAACAGGACTGGTGAATAGGATGGTTAAGGAGGCATATGGGATTCTTGCCTTTATTAGTCGAGGCATAGAGTACAAGAGCTTGAAGGTTACACTGGAGCTGTACAAGACATTGGTTAAGCCAAAGTTGGAGTACTGAGCGCAATTTTGGTCTCCGTACTATATGAAAGTCATCAGTTTGCAGAGGAGGTGCGCCAGGATGTTGACCCAGCTAGGGTGTTACAGCTATGAAGAGATAGACTATACAAGTCAAAGTTGTTATACTTGCAGCAAAGAAGGCTGAGCGAATACCTCTTTGAGGTGTACCAAATTTGAGGGGTGCACATAGGGTTGATAGGAATAAATGTTTCTCCTCAGAACGGTCAATTAACTGGAGCATAGATTTAAGAAAAGGAGAATTTTTTTCATCCAGAGATTGATTGGTATCTGGAACTCACTGCCTAGAAGTGTGGTAGAGGCAGGAGCCATCGCAATATTTCTGAAGTATTTAGATGAACACTTGAAATGCCATAGTGTACAAGTCTATTGACCAAATGATGGCAAATGGGATTAGAATAGATAGGTGCTTGATGATCAGCATGGGCTCAATGGGCTCAAGGTCATACAAGAATGCATCTATCGCATTATAGGAGAATTACCTTTATCAGGAGCTAGAGTCCAAATTAAGCAGTAACTCAAAGATCACAACCTCTGCGTTATTACCCGAGCCGTGTGCAAATTGATAGAGATGAAATCAGATCAGAGAGATGAATACATGGTTCAATGACCGGTGTGGGAGAAGTGGATTTGAGTCCATGGGAGTAACCCCATGGGCCGTTGTCCGTGCTATTATACTGTTTGACTGTAATTAACAGGATCTTTTCAAAAGGGCATGACAATAAAGGGATTTTAATCTCCCTATCAACTGGGAAGGTCAGATGGGGAAAGGTAGCCTAGATGAGGAATTCATAGAATATTTTCAGAAGAGCTTCTTAGAGCAGCATGTTTTGTAGCTGACAAGAGCAAGTATACCAATGGTGTTGTGCAATGTGAGAGGATTAATTCATAATCTTATAGTGGGTCTGTGATTATGTCTTCAATTTAAATAAGAATATCAAGGGCACGAAAGCAGAGCTGGCTAAAGCAAATTGGCAAATTAGGTTAAAGGATAGTTCAGTAGTATTGTAGTTGCAGACGTTTATAGGGATATTGCAGAATATGCAGATTAGGGACATTCAAATAAGAAAATTCCAAGGGCCAAATCTATTGTCAGTAGTTAACTAGAAATGTGTAGGTAGTATCAGGCTTTAAAAAAAGCATATAATCATGCAAAGACAGATCAAAAGATTGAACAGAATATTTTTTTTAAAATCAAAAAAATAGCCAAAAATGAATAAAGGTAAAAACTGGGGTATAAGAGGAAGCGAGGTATAAATATTAAAAATTTCTGTAAATGTTTAAAGAATAAAAGAGTTAAAAACTGTTGCTCATATAAACTGGAGAATTAATAATGGAAAATAAGAAAATGACAGATAAATTAAAGATGTATTAAAGTGGTACTGAGTAATTTGTTGAAGCTCTGGGCTGACGAGCTTGGAGTCTGAAACAAACACACAAAGTGCTGGTGAAACTCAGCAAGCCTGGCAGCATCTGTGGAGAGAAAAACAGAGTTGACTCTTCGAGTCCAGGGACCCTTTGTTAGAATTACATCAGAACACCGATGCAGTGTTGTTTTCACTTCAGATTTCCAGTATCCATAGTTCTTTGTTTCATATAAGTGCATGGTTGACCTCATCCTAATCCCCAAAGAACGAGAAAGTTATCGCATTCATACTAAATTTCCAATACTCCCT